TATGGTCGATGCTATTCGACCTAAGCAGTTGGAAAGTTTGTGGAAGTCGTATAAGCTTGTGGGTGCGATGGTTGCTGTTAAGCGGCATCAACCGTCACCCATTGTGTTTGATGGAAAGAAGGCTCAAGTTGCTCACCAGGAGCTTTGGTGGGCGCCTTGGTCTGGTGTTGATGAGCCTATGATTCATCCCAGGCAGATGGCGTCTGGTATACTTGTTGGTGATAATTGGACGTCTAAGTATGTTCGAAATTGTCTGCCTGTAAGTCAGCGTTTCCATTATAATAATCGTGATCCTAAGGGTGCTAAAGATACTATTGTTGAGTTCTTTAAGGCGGGTTCGCCGCCGTGGTTGCCTATTGATCGTCAGGTTACTGATGATACTGGAAAGGAGGTTGGTAATTTTGCTTCTCAGCAGTCTATTGGTTACTTCTATGTTGATGGTCCGCCTACGTCTAAGGTGACTGTTGATGTGGAATTGAAGTTGACCATAGCTTTGAGGGGCCGGAAGTGTTTGGGTGGTTTACGGGATCTGTCTGGTCCTATTAATGCAAATAACGCTGGTCAAACTGTCGGTAATGAGGGTATTGGTGATAATATGAAGGAGGTAGATAGTGGTATTTAGCTTTAAGTGTTTTAATTGTTTTAATTTAAAAACTGAGTCCTACTCAGGACTATACACTTGGTCCATGTATATAATTTGGGTTATTCGGCGCATTAGTGCGCTTTTGTCTTCAATTTGCGGGTACCAGCGGTTTGGTTCCACGTTTGAAGTGATGATGAATTTTGTGGCCAATAAGTCGGTCATGGAGTTTTTGATCGGTACTTTAATAGGATTTTCGCTTAGCCATCTAAGCATATCCGAGTATTTTTCACTTCCATAGAAGTCGTCAAATATGACAACGTCTTGGCCTTGGTATCCGTCCCACCATTGGCCGTCTGGCTTAACGTAGTAGTCGTCGCAGACGGCTCTGGCGGTGTGCGACTTGCCAGTACCAGGTGGTCCCCAGAGTACGGACACTTCGGGTTTTGGACGTGCAAAAGATACTTTTTTGACCTGTCGGTGGTAGGCTGTAACCGCGGAGTGATGCCTAAGCATCCACTCTGGTTCTTCTTCCCAAAGGGTGGCAATTGTTAGTTTCTGCCACCATCCTTTTTCTCTTGCACATTCTGGCTTTTCGCCGTCTTCGTGCGTCGTGCCTACTCTTGTTTCTTCTTTAGAACAATATCTGATGGCGGCGGGTATGTCCTTGCAGATTTCAATGTGGGTAAGACCACCCATCTCCCGGCGCACGCTGTCGAAGGTACGGGCGTTGGTAAAGTACAGGAAGCCTTGGAAGTGGAGGCGACCTGTAGTTGGGCATAGCTCCTGTTGGTAGCAATAATATTTGTATTGCGCCGGCAGGGGGCATTGTTCCGCGAAGGACGTGAATACGAATGCGCGCGCCCTTATCGAAGTATGTCTGTCGGTCATGGTGCACTGTTTGCAAATAAATTAAGTTGCGGCGAGTTTGTACACACACTTTTTTATGTTTGCGGAATTTTATAATTGTGGGCGAAAAATCATTTGGGGTTTAGGTTTATAGGGTTTAGAGGTTATCTAAATATTAAAAAAATGCCGTAGGCAATTTTTTTAATAATACCCACACTAACTAGGCTATAGTATTACCCTAGTTAGTGTGTCGTGTGTCACAAAGAATATCTACACACACTGCACCTTTTTTTTAAAATTGGATGTCATTGAGTCTTTGGGCTCAAGCTTTGCCGGTTTTAATAGAATTTGCTCCCGCTTTGTTTGGTATTGGTGCCGCTGGTACTGTTATTGGCACAGGTTTAGAAGTTGCAAACGCGGTTAATAGTTTGCTTTCGGGTGATATATCTAAACAGTCTACTGTTGATACATTAGTTAATTACGTTGCAGATACTGCTACGGACGCTTTAATAGACGCTGGTAATGGCTTACTCAGGCAAGGTGCGGAAACTGTACAGGAGGCGTTTAGGAACGGGTTACGGTCGAGGTCGAGGTCGCAGGTTCGGCGGTCGCCTGAGCCTCCGAAGAAGACGAAGCCGTTTACGGGGAAGAATTGGTATGCGCGGAAGAAGCTCTATAGGTCGAGGGCGCAGCCGTTCTAGAGCTTTTCCGCGAGTTGTTTCATATCGTATGTCGAATGTTCTTCAGGATATTCCTGCTGGTGCTTGGAAGCTGTGTATGGTCGATGCTATTCGACCTAAGCAGTTGGAAAGTTTGTGGAAGTCGTATAAGCTTGTGGGTGCGATGGTTGCTGTTAAG